CGTGCCGGGGGGGCCAGCACCGCCTCCCCACCCCGCCTTTCTCAGTGATGCTATTTAACCTGTGCTATTGGAAAAGTCCCAGATGGTTTATTTTAATACACAGTAAGGACGGTTCATGGCCGCGGGACCCAGGGCTTGGCTGCCCCTGGGCAGCGCTGACCCCCGGCTCCTCTGCACACGCAGTGCCCGACCGGCCGCCTGCCCGACTCGGCTCTGCCGTGTGACGGAAGGGTAAAGCCTGTCCCAGCTTTTCTCCTATTTATGCTTCTCTCCTGCTGTCCCTACCAGCTGTTTCTTCACTGCTGCCATCCCTCCCCCAACCCTGCCCCATGTCTCAGGGCCCCTCGTGCACAGGGCAGGGGAGAGGTGAGGTGAACCCCCGAGTTTGTGGTTTCGCAGCGGTTGGGGTGTCCCCAGGCACTGCCAGGGAGGCAGAGGGTCTCTGCAGGAGCCAAGCAGAATGGCAGGGCTGGGGCTGGAGGTGTCGGCCCCAAGCAGCCATGCTAGGACCCCAAGATGCACATGCCGGGGTCCCCACTGCTGCCTCCCTGCAGCATTGCTGCCCGCTCTGCGTCCCAAGCGAGGGCAGGCAGGGATGGGCAGTGCTGAGCCCTCCACTGAGATTTGTTTTCTCAGCGTTTGCCGGTGCTGGAGGCAGCAGCTGTGGCTTTGCAGCCCGTGGCAGCCGCAGTGCCTGGAGCCCACAGGGATCCATGGTCAGCACGTCTCTAGGATGTCACAGCTTTGCTCCAAAGGCTCTAAGAGATTTGGTACTGGGCGCAGGGGACTGTCCTGGGGACACTTTGGGTCAGTGGCCCTGCTGCTGTGCCCTCAGTGCCAGCACAATGCCCCACGGCTGGGCAGCTTTGCAGGTCACAGTGCCCAGGCGGCATCGGCACCACAAACCGAGCTGGTTCCCGAAGCGCGAGGACAGGGTGGCCCTGGGATGGTGGCCCCGGGCAGCGCAGGTCCCGCCTCCCTCCGGCCATCACCCACGTCCAGGCAGCGCCCGAAAAAGAGCCGAGGGGCAGGATGGGGCCAGGGACAGACCCTGTCCCCTTTCTGCCCACAGGCAATGGCAGAGCCGCCGGGCAGGAGCGAGCTGCAGGGTCCAGCCCCCACGCTCAGGTGCCGGGGCCGCAGCGGGTCCAGGCTGCAACAGCCCAGAGCTGCTCCTGCACCAGCACGTGCCCGGGGGCTCAGGGGAGCTGTGGGGCTTTGCAGCCCCCTCCTGCATTTACCTGCCCAAGCGAGTGGGCAAGGAGTAATAAGGACTGTCCTGCGCCTCGCGCCGGGCTGAGCCCCCGACGCCCCTGGTGCGCTCTGCTGTGGGACAGAAAGGCTGTGCCGGAGCCCCGGGCCAGGAGCCGCCGGTTCCTCCCCACGGCGGCACAGGGGCTCACCAACACGAAGGGCGGCGCTGGGGGGCTGCAGCCCCCTGAGCTGGGACGTGCCGGACTCTCGCTGCCGCTTTCTCTCGGGCTCAGCCATGCTGTTGTCTCCTCCCGCCCCACCGCCGGGCAGCCCAGCACGGCCCCCCCGCCACGGCCGCCCCCCCGGCTCTGCTGGGGCTCTCCGGCACTGCTGGCCTCAGTTCAGGTTTGTTTTCCAGGGGGGGTGTTTGCTCCTCATTCCAAGGGGGTTGTTGCCCGCCGCAGCTCTGCGCAGAGCCGGTGCCTTGAGGAGCTGCAGACGCTGCTCCCGGAGCCGCGCGGGTTGTGGAAGCTTGTTAGATGCAGAAGAGCATGTTTGTCTCTGCTTTTCAACATGTTTGTGCATTTTCCTCCTGACGTCTGTGGTTCGGTTTCACCTTCTTCTTTTTGTGAACTTAAAGAACTGGAGAAAATGGTTTGGGAGGTAAAAGATGTTTTATTTTCAGACAATGAAAAGTGTCCTTAAGTGTCTCTCTCTCTCTCTGTCTCACATCCTTTTCTCCCTCTCATCCCTCCCCTTCCCCACTCCCCACCCTTCCTTCCCAGGCGGGAGGTTACCAACTTCCTTGTCAGGAGCAAACCACTGTAATAAATTTTGCAGTTCATTTAAAAAGGCAGACTTTGTCCTTTTGACTGTCTTTCCAACCCTCCCCGTTGGTGCCCCCCCATGCTCCTGGCTCCCCACGGGCAGGCAGGGGGTGTCCTGCCTGGTGTCCCCGCAGGAGAGCAGCGCTTGGCTCTGGCACGCACCGGGAACGCGCCGGGAGGGACACGACGGCTGCCGGTCGCTGCTGCCGTGTGATTCAAGGCATTGGTGACTCAGGCTCTGGTTCAAAGTGCTGCTGGGAATTGCCATAGCGACTCTGAGTGTGTTTTTCAAGTGAGCTCACAAACGACAACATTTATGGGCAACGAGCTTAGACTGGGGATTTTTCACGTAGCCCTGGGTGGTCACTGTGGCTGAGAGGCCATGAGTGCCGGCCAGCACAAGATCAGAGAACACGGCGCAAGGCAGGAGCAAGCACACGGGCACGGGCAGTGCCCTGGACCCGGCACCGCGGGCAAACCGCCCGCCGCTGCGTTTGGCTGCCTAAAGCCAGGGCACGCTGCCACGCCTGAGCACGAGCCCCTTCCCACGGACACACTGCAACAAGGAGAGGAGGTTGCCTTTAAAATCAGCATTTACTGGCATCATAATCAGCAGAAGAACCAACATGTTTTATGTGCTCTAAACACGAGGGAGGTAACAGGAGAACCAGTCGGATGCAAAGAACAGAGGGAGAGAAAACATAACCCCAGCTGGGCGGGAGCCCTGGGAGGAGCAGGGAGAGGATTTTTGTCCTAAAGAGCGGAAGATGCTATCGAAGGCAGCTGGTTGAGAAAAGACTTGAAGCCAGCTGCTGTCTTCCTTAGCACATGTGCTTCCTACGCGGCCGTCCGGAGCCCGGCCCCGGCAGAGCTGTGGGGGGGCCGGGGGAGGCGCCGTCCGCGGGCACGGGAGCGTGGGCTGCCACGGGCAAAGCGGGGTTTGCTCCAGGTCCCCCGGCAGAACCAGCGCTGCCACCAGCAGCAACCACCAGACACGAGCCACGCGGCAGCGCTGCGCCAGGCCGAGCTTGGCTACCCCAGCAGAGGCCGCCTGAGCCACGGGGACCCCCGGGCTGGCATGCGGGCTGGGCAGGGGTCACGACAAGTACCTGCCTGTTGTTTGCCGCCCCTGGGGAGGAGCGGGGCGATCTTCAGCAGCGACGAAGCCCCGTGAGAGCCCACGCTACCCCAGTCCTGCCTTGGTTTTGTCCGCACATGCTGCTGGGAAGACGCGCAGGGCTCACAGCTCGGCCTGGGCTAGGACAGCCCTCCGCACAGAAGCCAGGTCCTCCGCCCTGCCGTCCTCCCGGCTGTTGGAAGAGCCTCGGTGTTGTGGGCCCATCACCCAGAAACTTCTCAGAAACCTAAAGTGAAAGAGAGACAATCTCAGGTGCGTTGGCAGGGAGGGGAGGGCAGGGGTCCCTCCTGGGGCCGCGGGTACACGCTGGGAGAAAGCACAGCCCAAACCCGCCGTGGGACGGAGCCCGGAGGATGGAGCCCGGCCAGCCCTGCCTGGCACTGCCGCGTCCCATGGACTCCCTGACGCTTTCGGGGTCTCTGAAATAAAGTCCTTAGGGCAGGGAGCCAAAGCAGCCTCCGTGCACCGGGCTGGGGCTGTAAGGAGAAACCGCTTCTTCCCCCTGCTCAGCAATTAGCCGGCCGCGCTCAGCGCCGAGCTCTGAGAGTGCTGAAGAATGAGGTTTAAATGGGGTTTAATGAAAATACCGGCGCTATCGTGGCACAGAGCGCTGATGTCGCACGGGCTGCACCTCCTTCCGTCAGGGCATCAGGTTCCCTCTGCCCGTCGGGAAGGGCCGTGGCACGGCGGGCAGCGGTGATCCCACCGCAGGGTGGGCCGGCGGGGTCGCCATGGGGAGGGTCTGCGTTTCCCCGGGTGCCTGTGACATTCACGTGCCTTACTGGCTTTGAATCCCAAAGACTCATGATTTTCTTATTATTTCAAGCCCAATCTTATTTAACGCGGTGTGGTGAGAGTTGCAGAATTACTCGATATTGATCAGAGGAAGGCTGGGCCATGGAGACAAGATCCATGTTGCTATGTGTGGCTTAGCAACATATAAATGTATTCAAACAGAATAATGAAATTATCGTGGGGAAACAAAGCAGCCATCACTTGAAGAGATGGAGGATGTGGAGGCCTCTTGGAGCTCTTGTTTGCCAAGACAAGGAAGACGGTACTTATTGTTTGTGCAAATATGTGAACCCCCCCAGCCATCCCCTGCTTACATAAAGGGTGTAATGAATCCGGGCCGCGTGCTCGCTGCAACGCGCAGCTTTGTACAGCTGGGCTGGAGCTCATTACTGCGGGAACGTGCGGCCTCTCCGAGCGCACTGAGCCCTTGGGGGGGGAGCCCTAATACTGGGGGTGGGGAGGGAGCCCGCGCCTGCCTCCCAGCCACAGCCATGCTGCAAAACTCCTCGTTTCTGTGGTTCTGAAACTGGCCTGGTATTTACCTGGCTTTTATCCGCCCTCGTCCTCCCGGGGGTTAACACACCGCTGGGACCCCGGCCCACCTCCCCCCAGGGACACACCGGCTGCCTTGTCCACTCGCAGCCCCCAGATGCCCCCAGCTCTCACAGGAGCACGGCCGAGGCGCTGGGGCAGAGAAGAGGTGGATCCCATCCCCGGTCCAGCGCAGCTTTCCCGGGGGATTGGGAACAGGGATTTAAGCTCCAAGTCTTGGCCGGTGCCTGGGGCCCAGCGCTCCTCCGGCCCCGGCTCTGCCTGCCAGACTGCTGCCGCTACATCACAATTTTCATTAGAGCTGGCTGGAAATTTTCGAATAAAGGTACCTGGGGCAAAATAGGTCTCTTTTCATTAAACTACTTGGGAGAAAACAAACAGAAGAGGGGAAGTGCTTTGAAGTGGTTTGTCTCTTGCCCATCACCAAGCACAGGTTTATGGTTTCCCTCCCCTGGCAGCCGCTATCCCTGGGAGCTACACAGCGTATTGCTCTGTTGAACAAGCTGTGAAGACAGGAGCCTGTGCAACGCTGAGCTGCCCTGGGGTCCTCCAGCTGGGCATTGCTGCCTTTTATTATATTTTTTAATAGCTTGAAGCACTTGTCTCTGAGCCCGGCACCTCGGAGCAGCGCAGCGTAACCGGCACCAGCGCGGTGCCGCGCTCCGGCTTGCACATACACAAGTGTGCAGAGGAGGGCTCTTCTGGTTCAAGGAGATCTTGTCGTTCACCCCAGGCTGAAGGGCTGCCCAGCCAAGGGCTCCCTCGCCCTGAGGAGCCGCTCTCGGCGGTAGCAGAGAGTGTGGCCATGCACAGCGCTGCCCTGCACCCAGCGGGGACAGGCACGGCGCCCGCTCCGCCTCCCCCCGTCCTCCGGGCAGACCCAGGCTTTTGAAAATATACCGGGGGCTTACCTGAGAAAACAAAACCAAACTAAACAACCCGCCTCTTTGCACAGCTGGAGTTTAATGACACATGTGGCTAGATTAAAATAGGCAGGAGCAGGTGAGGGTGAGTGTGGGGGGACAGGGCACAAACGCGCTGCCGGGTGGAGGTCTTGCTGTCTCTGGGACCCCGCTCCTACGCCTGAAATGCTGCAGCACATTTACTCCCAGATGCCACCGTTTCTGCCTCGCTCATGTGTCCACTGTGGGGAGGAAAGCTGCAATGC